ATAATATTATTTAGAAATATACCAGAGCTAGTAACTGAGGCTTTTAGAATACTATACACAATTTTTTTCTTAGACTTAAAGTCAACCCTTTTTATGGTGGGAAAGGGGTTAGGGGCTGACATTGTGTTCTAGCAGGGGTGTAAGCATCTACATTATCTCCAATGACTGCTACATGGAGGAGGTGGCAAGCTGTCCTACCTGCCCTTGGGACATTTTTAACCATAGTATGTATCAGCTATCTGTTGCCACGATAGTGATATACAGTGAGAAACCACAAATGCTTAGTGATGCAAAAATGCACTTGTGTTTACTGCAGAGTATTTGGGTGGGCTGGTCTGGTCTACTGAATGCTGGACTTACGGGTCTGTGGTCAGTAGGTGGGCTGGCTTGGGCCTAGCCAACCTCCTTTGGCCATGTGTCAAATGATGCAGCTCTGTTTCTCCTGATCTGTCATCCTCCAGCAACAGGCTTACTCTCATGGTGACTTCAGGGTTCCAGTAGAGTGGAAGGAAGTGCATAGGGATTCCTCAAGCATTTACATTGAACTTGTGCATTGTCATTTCTACTACATGCTAACTGGCCAAAGATCCAACTGCTTGGGGAGTAATAGGCTTTGTTGCATAATGAGAAGTGTTGTGAGTCAGATTATAAAGAGTTTGGATACAAGGAACAGGGAGACATGGAGAATTGTTTTTTTTTTTTAAAACAATCATTCTACCACAGGATATCATGCAGTATATTGACTGTTTTTTTGTTGTTGTTGTTTTGTCAAAGACAGAGTTTTGCAACATTACCAAAATGTGTGGTTTTCATGTGGTTAGGATTTAGCTGTTTTGAAAGTTTTATTTATTTTTTTTTGTTCCTACTTGCATTATATGATGCTTTTGATAAACAGAGATGTTTTTGGTAGTCTTAGATATTTCTGAAAAAAAATGAGGCTTCTTTTAAAAAAATTAGACTGTGCATTTACATATTCATCAAAAGGACTCATCAACAGCATGGGTGCTTTGCCTCATCCCTTCTCATTGTCAGTCTAATTTATCAAAGAATTATTTTTAGTATTTGCTTACTTTTTATATTTAAAATTTTTGATGCAAGATTTTAAGTATACATTATAATCAGAGGTTGAATGGTTCCATTGAATAATGAGTTCAAAAAATAAAAAGTAAAGATATTTTCTGCTAATAATCATCTTTGGAGGCAGTAGATCATTGCATGCTTGGGTTTCTGTCTCCAGGGTATGAGCCCTTATTTATTAATAGCTACTGACTGTAGCTTGTCCCCACTTGGTCCTTGTAGACATTTGGGAAATGAACTAGGGTCCCGGACATTGCTCTTTTTCTCTCTCTTCCTTTTAAATAAATAAAATATATACTGCAGTACCCTATTACAATATAAATAGATAATTAAAATATATAAACTACTTATAAGTATCATAAATCTATAAAGGACAGTAGGAAAACAAAAGAGGTAATAGTTAACTTTGTCTTGGGAGGTTAAGAATTTCAGAAAAGGGGGCCTGGTGGCATGGCCTAGCGGCTAAAGTCCTCGCCTTGAATGTGCCAGGATCCCATGTGGGCGCCGGTTCTAATCCTGGCAGCTCCACTTCCTTTCCCATCCAGCTCCCTGCTTTTGGTCTGGGAAAGCAGTCAAGGACGGCCCAGAGCTTTGGGACCCTGCACTCACGTGGCAGACCTGGAAGAGGTTCCTGGTTCCTGGCTTCAGATCATCACAGCACCGGCCATTGCGGTCACTTGGGGAGTAAATCACTGGACGGAAGATCTTTCTCTCTGCCTCTCCTCTCTGTATATCTGACTTTGTAATAAAACTAAATAAATCTTAAAAAAAAAAAAAGAATTTCAGAAAAGGAGGGCCTTTAAGACACCCAGCTTGAGGCTTTTCAACATTGGTGCAGGTACAGTCAGCTGAACACACTGGCTTCATTGGGGGAGGGAGGTTCAGCAGGCCTCTAGGACCACCCCAACGTGGAGTTTAGGTTTTTTAACCCTCTCAGGTGGGGCTTGGCTGGGGGTAGTTTCCAGCATTGTGGCTAATGCTGAAGGTACCTGAGCCAAGTTGGACTCAATGCCTGGACCCATGGCCATGGTCATGCTGCCATGTGGTGAGCGAGTCCTGGGCTTTGGGCTGCCAATGTGCCAAGTGGGGCTGGGCTCCACCCGCTGGTCGCCCAGTGCCTAGTTCTAGGGTCTTTGGGGTATGTAATTGCTTCGCAGAGAGGTGACAGAGGAATCCTGTGTGACTCCCAGCAATGGGGGTCACTGAATTTGCACATAAGTGAGGGGACTGAGACCTAGAGGTTTGGAGGAGAGAGTCCGTAAGATCTGTTTGGGTCAGACTGATTCATTAGCCCACATGGGAGTCCTGAGATGGGCAGCTCAATATTGCTGACCACCACACGCCAGCGCACACAAAAGCGATGACTGGTCACTAGTGTGGTAGGATTAGATTCTAGTACCTGACTGTTACAACAGGGGACGGGGTCACATCAGGCAGGGTTATAACACTAACAGCATGAGAGAGAACCGGATCCGGGGGTAGATTCTGCAAGGGATAAGTGGGCCTAACCCTGTGGAAATACAAGTCCCTCTGGTTAGCTTAAGAGTAAGGGTGATGATGGGCTGAGCTAGGAGTGACCATGGAACCCGCCAACACTCACGGGTGCTGGGGCTGGAAACAGACTGGGCCGATTCAGGCTCCAGTACCCACATGTGCATCTTAAAAAAGGGTGTGAGTTGGGGTGGGCCACAACATCCTCCAGTTCATACAAAGGCCAAGTCAGGATGGCAGGCTAGGCCAGTCAAGGGCCTAGCAACTGCTGGAGCATGTGAGACCTGGGCCAGGGAGTGGGACGAGTGGGGGAATTTGGGAAACTCCCCTATTGGGGTCATAGCTCCCACTTGGGAGCATGTGTTCCAGGCCTGGGTATTGGGCAGCCTGAGCAGGGTAATTCCAACTCATGGCTAATGTGTGGGTTGGTTTTGGAGGGAGGCCGACTGGGCAGGGCCAAACCAACCTTACCTCACCTGCAAGAGCAGAAACCTGGCTGGAACACAGGTCAAGTTCAGCTAGGCTGTCACACCTACCAGTTTGCATGAGCCTAGGATGGGAGCAGACTGAGCAGGGCCAGGTTCCAGCACCCACCAGTTAGTGGTGGGACTTGGGGTAGGCTGGGTCAGGTCAGGCTACAGCATCTAAACACAAAGGTCATGACAGGTAAGGGACTAAGCCAAGTTGGGTCAGAGCAACCACTGCCACGTGTAAGATGTATAGCTGGGAAAAGACCTGGTTGCGGAGCTAAGTGGATGCCCTGGCTGAGTTATGGTTTCCACTGGTAAGCACAGGGCTGGAACGGGAGCTGTGTTCTGGTTTGGACATGGCTATAGCGTACCATGGCACAAGTGTGGACTGGGGCTGAGTGTACCAGATTGGGCTAGACCCCAGCACCCACTGGTGTTCGTGTCGACCAGGGTAGGTGTAGGATGGGGTAGGGCAGGTTTTTTTGTCTCTGCTGAGCCAGGTGTGAGCTGTGTCTGCATAAGGACCAGGCTAGACTGGGCTGTAACACCTAACAATAATAACCAGAATGGGTTGAAGGTTGGTCAGGAAAGGCTACTGTTCTGCCAGGACAGGAGGTGGCCCATGGATCCACTGGTATGTTCGAGATCTGGCAAGTCAGAGCAGCTTGGGAAACTCCTCTGTCAAGACACAATCCCTGCAGGTGAGGGCAAGAACCACGATAGGGAGCAGCCCAGACAGGCCAGGGATTGGTACCCAGCAGCATATTTTTGGTACAAGTCGAGGGTGAACCAGGTAGGGGCAATTCATGTCACCTGCTGGAGAATCCTAGCACCAGAATGGAGTGTGGGTTGGGCCGGGTTTGGTCGCAACATACACCAGTACACATAGGGGCTTGGAGTGGATGCTGGCTGGGCTAGGCTGAAGCCTCCACCAACCTGAGCTGGAATTGCTGGGCTGGGCCAGGCTAAAGCACCCACTAACAAAGGCTGAGGTGAGGTAGGCCATGTCAGACTGGGTTGAGGCACCCAACCAACACACACAAGACCCAGGATAGGGGAGCAAAGCTGGTAGAGGTATGTGGAAGGCTCCCCTGCTGGATCCCACTCCTACTGGAGAGCATGAGTTGGGATGGGGGCAGACCAGACCTGGCAGTGCAACAATACCAGTTGACCTTATGTGAGCTGGACCAGGGAAAAGCCAGGCTGGGCTGAGTGTTCCTGCTGGTGCAAGCATAAGTCAGAGTGGGTGTGGGTTTATTGGGCTCTGCCACAGCATTAGCTTGCAGAGGCTAGCATGAGAGGCTAATTCTATCAAGCCAAACTGCAAAATCACCTGGAGAGTGCATGATCTGGGTGTGAGAGTGGGCCCAGTAGGGAAACAGTGGGTACCTCCCTCCTGGGTTGCATGAGAACCAGGACTTAGGCAGGGGTAGCTAGACAGAGTGCCACCCATCAGCAGGTGTGTGGGTTGGATAGTGTTTGGATTGAACTAAGTTTCAATGCCCATTGGCATGTATGTGAGCTAATAGAATGTGGGACAGACTGGACTAGTCTGCTGTACACACTGACAAGCATGGGAACACCAGGAGGCGTGCCTGGTGAGGGTTATTGGGAATTGCCCCAACTAGGCTGCAGCTCCCACTGTGTTGTGTAAAGGCCAAGTGTGTGCTGGGCAGAAGAATCAGGCTGAACTGCAACACCCATTGGTTCATGTGCAAGACAAGACTGGAAACAGAAGTGACCCAGCAATTGTAACCACCAGCATATGCATAAGCTGACTGGGGTGACAGACTGTGCTGGACCCTGTACAGGCAAGCACATACAAGAATCTGGTCTGGGATCACTTTCAGATGAAGATTCTTTGGGGATCCCTCCAATTGAACTGCCGGACTCAGAACCCCAACTATGAAGAGAAGAACAGGTTCCATGGTCTGACTGTGGAGTGCATGAGTCAGAGCTGAGCCTTCTCAGTGGCTCAGACGGAGCAGTGGACAGCATATCCGGGTGCACATGGAGGATATGGCAGTCCATCGGAGCCTGCATAGGACACGTGGTACCACAACAGAGTGTTGTGGAATAAGTGCTCCTTAAGCTGAGTGGTACCAGGAAATGGGCTTGCTGCTAAAAACACCTGGACTAATGGGACTCAGTGGCTTACTATTGTTTGGCTAAAGGACTTTGGGGTGGGGGGAAAGAGTATAAAAGGAATAATAAAGGGAGAATTGAGAGCCACTTCTGCTATCACTGGTTTCCTGTAGGTGTTTCATCCCCAGACTCTTTCCCTGTCCATGTTACCAGCTCTGCTGGTCAGAGCAACAGAGGAAAGAACAAATTGATCAACTATCCCAGCCAAGTGTTGGCAGTGAAAATCTGGCAAGTGGAGATGCTAAGGTGGACTATGTCAGCTAGTGGATTCTGAAGGGATTTCAGCATGCTTGGAATTGTGAGACTGGCAGCAATTCAGAACTGTTGAACTATCAAAACCACTTGAGCTGTGCCCTCGGTTACATGCCCCATATATGGGACCCTGGGGTGGTTAGTAGGATGGGTGTGGCTTCTCCCTTTGTCTCTCCTGTTCCCCCAGATATAGGAAGGATAAAAGAGAATGTGGAAACAATGTCCTTATCAACTTTTCTGTGGCCCTTGATCCTTTGAGCCCTGACCAACTATGTAGAGATCATAAAACAAACACCTGATAGCTAAAAAAAGAAGTTTCAGAAAAGAAACTTAAAAATTTTGGAGGAAATACAAGAATGGATAATGTGGGAATATTGGATCAGGTCTGCAAGTACAAATAGTAAATTGAACACTAATTTCAGGAAAAGGACCAACCTGTGAAGAGTTAACAATTTGAGAAAGAACTAGGTTTACCTGCACCCACGAATTGTTATACTACTAGAAAATGGTGTGTGAAAGTGTGAGGAGTGAGGGAAGTATTTCAACTCATTGCCAGTAAGCAGGAAGAAACTGATAATGATACCAGATTATAAGCATTTAGAGTTGTTGTATTGGAAAAATAATGATATTAAGATAAGGTTACTGTATTTGAAAAAAAGTTGGAAGAATAGCCTTTTCTTGTGTAGAAGAACTTACTGGAGATAAAGTCATTGAAGAATTTTAAGAAGGGTGTAAACAGTGTTGATAGAAATGTAGCCCTGATTATTCTGATAGTAACAGAGATTCAATTAGAGAAAGCCAAGAGGGAAATTAGGGATGCTGCTAGCCTGTTTATAAGAAACGAGTTGAACTAAGCAGTACAGGGTTAAACAAAGAACTCTGAGTTAGGGAATCCATAGGTGTTATAAACTAGTTGGGAAGGACAAATAATGGGGAAAAAGGAATGTTCAGATAATGACTAGGTTTTTGCCAGAGTAACTAATTAGATGATTGTGATAGCAACTACTTACCTGGTTATGTGCTGTACTGCAAATAAAAGGATTTTGAGTTTCACTACATAGTTATAAGCTTATTTAAAAAAGTTGGATTTGTAGAATTTGTGGGAAATCCAAAGGAAATAAGCTGTTTGATTCTGAAAAACACAGGCCTTGAGCTGAACAAAGACTTGGAAATCATTATCATGTAAGTGGTTATTGAACCCTGAAACACTCCATTGCCCAATGCCCTTGTCGTATGGTTTAAAAATAAGAATCAAGGTGTGTTCATTTATTCCAGTGCAAGTAGTTTAAATATATATGAAGTAACTTTGAAAAGTACATGGAAAATGGAGTTAAAAGGTAAATTTATTTTGGATAAAAATATCTTGAAACTCATGAACAGTTCTTTTTGAAAGCTTTTTCAAGATCCCTTGCATGTTGCATTTTGGATTATATTTTTGTTTCCAAAACATTTATTTATTTGAAAAACAGATTCACTAAGAGAATGAGAGAGATAGAGGGATGGAGTAGGAGGCGAGAGAGAGATAAAGAGAGAGAGAGAGAGGTCTTTCATTTGTTCATTCACTGTCTTAAGTGGCAGCAATGGCTGGAACTGAGCTTATCCAAAGCCAGGACCCAGGAGCTTCTTTCAGGTCTCTGATGTAGTTGCAAAGGCCCAAGGACTTGAACCAGCCTCTGCTGTTTTCCCAGGCCATAAGCAAGAAACTGAATTGGAAGTGGAGCAGCTGGGGATTCCAACCAATGCTCATATGGGATGCCAGTACCACAGGGTGAGGCTTAACCTGCGTGGATTTATACTTTTTAAGTATGTAGCTATCAGTTTTAAGTAAGTCATTCTGAGAAGCCATCCAGTAGAGCGGATAAATATCTGCATTTATTTTCTTGTTAAAAATCGCTTTGCCTTTTCAGGCAGCATTAAATACCTATTTTCTAGTTTCTGTGCAACCTGTAATATTCCTTATCATAGCGCTTCCAGCAATCACCATCTTGTACTACAAGACATTCTAGAACAGTAGCTTTCAAATCTTATTACCTTCAACTATATTAAGAAATACATATTATGGCATGGTGGATTAAGCTCCTTATGCAATGCTGATGTCCCATATGGTTGCTGATTCAAACCCCAGCTGCTCCATCTGCAGTTTAGCTCCCTGCTAGTGTGCCTTGGAAGGCAGTCGAAGATGGCTCAAGTGCTAGAACTCCCATCATGCACGTACAAGATTTGGATGGAGTTATAGAATACTGGCATCAACCTGGCGTGGCATGGCTGTTGTGGTCATTTGGGAACTAAACCAGCAGATGAAGATCTGTCTCGCCCTTTCTCCTGTAACACTGATTTCCAAAAAAAAAAAAAAAAAAAACCAAAAACGAAAAAGCAAACTAAATAAATTTTTAAATAAAAAAGAAATGTTTTATGCTATTTATGTGAGATATATACAAAATATATGAAATTATGTGTATTATAGATAAACGCAGTCTGGTCTTTTCCATTCTTTGATTTTCTCTTACCTCTTTTCCATTTCTTTAAAAATGTTGGCATAGCATTTTTATTTATCAAAACTCTACTTGGTCTTAAGCCACAGTTTAAAAAAAAGCTTCTTCAACATAAGTGTTTCTGATGATCATATATCTCTGGGGTTTAGCAAATAATTTAGTACTGCTTGCTGAAGATAGACCTAGGAAATTTCAGATAGTACTGACGATCTCAATTCTAATATAGGAAAAATGCTGCCACCATTATTCTCATTATAGTATTTTCTAAAATTCATGTTTTAAGAACTAGTACATGCCATGAATCATGAATTCGGTTAAACATAAAAGATGGCAAAGCCTTATTGCATCGCATTATTGTAATCCTGCTAATACCACTGCAGTTTAGCCACATGCATCCAGGGGTAACATACTGATGCATTTTCAATTAACACAGCATTCTTGAGCTTCTGGTAGGTAACTCAAGCATAATAAAAAGCTTTATCACTTTGAATATACAAGTAGCATGGAAGTTAAATGATTGGGGTCTATAAGAGAGCACAAACTTACATGATGTTATTTTAGTGTGGGAGGAATGAGAACATCTAAAATGACGACTTAATTTTTTTCTTTTTTAGATTTTCTTTATTTCTCTTGAAAAGACAGACTTACAGAGAGAAGGAGATAAGAGAAAAAGATCTTCAGTCTGGCTGGTTCACTCTCCAAGAGTTTTATTGACATTCTCAGGCACAATACAGACACTTAGATTTATGTTTTTTTTTTTTCATGCTCTCTTCTCATTAAAAAAAATATTTGTTTATTTATTTTTGTTGGAAAGGCAGATATACAGAAAGAAGGGGATACAGAGAGAAAGATCTTCTGTCCTCTGGTTCACTCCTCAAGTGGCCACAATGGCCAGAGCTGAGATGATCTGAAGCCAGGAACTTCTCCCGGGTCTCTGATGTGGGTGCAGGGTCCCAAGCTCTTGAGCTGTGCTCAACTGTTTTCCCAGGCCACAAGCGTAGACCTAGATGGGAAGTAGAACAGCTGGAACACAAACAGGCACCCATATGGAATCTTGAGGCAGATGAAAGGTGAGGACTTTAGCCACTAGGCTATTGTGCCAGACCCTCTCTTCTCATTTTTAAAGCTAAATTTCAACTTCAGTAAGGTTTTCCGTGGCATAACTCTGAATATTTTTGGTTCAAATACCCATGATCTCACAATTTTCTAGCCACAAGAAAATCTAAGGACCTCAGATATTTGCTAAATCTGTTGCATTTATCACTGTACTCAAGAAATGTACTCCTTCCCTGGTTCTCACATATTTTTTTTCCATGGTTTCATCCTACCTGAAAGGCGGTGCCTCACTTTTCAGATTCTCCTCATCTCCTCCTTCAGGTTTTATATTTGCTCTCATTTTAGTCTTCATGGAACAATCTCACTCACTTTCAAATGTTGCTTGAATTCAAATGACTTCTAAATCTATGCTGCTGGCTTAAATATCTCCTCTGAAGTGCAGACTTACACAACTGTCAAATTTCCAACGAGGTGTCCAGAGTCTCATCAGCCTCTATACATTTAAAAAGATGATCTTTCACCTCACCCAAATTTGAACATATCTGCTTTGCCTATCTCTTGCTTCATTTAATTGTTCCAGATTTGTGTCTTTCACCTGCCTCCCACTGATCGATTATTGACAAAGGAAAACTTTCCAGCTATTAAATATTTATTGGATATCCCACATCTTTAATCTTAACCTCCCTGTATCAGCCACTGTGGTCAAGAAAACAGAAACCAGTTTAGGTGGAAGACATTTAATAAAGTGCATTAGGGACAGAACTATGTAAATCTAAGGAAGGAATGATCAGAAAAAGTGCTCCTCGTAGTTAGGAGATCTGGAAATGCAGGAACCCCAGTGGCACCCATACTAGATGCAGGCAATTCGGTGAATCGCTTTACCTGCCTTGCATGATTTTGCCCCGTGACCACAGTGAAATTATTCTGTATAGTCCCTCAGAGAGTGCGCACTGGCAATGACCCTCCGTGATTACAGAGATGAGTCACATGTCATTGCTCTTTTACCGGCATTCTTTGCTTCCATCTATGACTTCTCCACTCTTCTGCTGCTACTGGTTCGTTTTCAGAATAAACTAACAGCACTTAATGTCTTGCTCATGGTCTGAGACACACTTGTTTTATGTATTGATTTCAATTGTCCATATTTTATGAGAAGGTTATTCTTTGGTAGAATGTAAGACAGACCGTTTCTCACCAGGTTCCCGAGGAAATGTAGTTGTTTTAGTTTCCTAATGCTTACACTACAGGGAAATATAGCTTAGAAAGATAAGGATAGGGTTCATATCTTTGATCACTTTCACAATATTATTACCATAGATTTAAATTGCAATAGGTGTTATATTCATAGGATCTTGGAATTAAATTATATATGATTCTATTGAGTATAAATACTATCATAGTCTGTAGCATTCAAATTTCAGCTATACATAGTTTGGCAGTAACAACTACATCATGTAGCATAATGTACCCATCTTTTATATTTGAAAATAAATTTATCATCTCTATAAAGGGTAAACAGAAAGCATTTTTATATTTATCAACTTCTCTGATCTATCATTTCATAAGGATATTGTGTAAAAAATTGTATTAAAACTGTCTATTTTGCTATGTGTTAATATTTTAATTTTATTTATATTTTAAAAGTATTTATTTATTTTTATTGCAAAGGCAGATTTACAGAGAGGAATAGAGACAGAGAGAAAAGTCTTCTGTCTGCTGATTCACTCCCAAGTGGCCGTAATGGCCGGAGCTTGAGTCAATCTAAAGCCAAGAACCAGGAGTCTCTTCCAGGTCTCCCATGCAGGTGCAGGATCCCAAGGCTTTGTGTTGCCCTTGATTACTTTCTCAGACCACAAGCATGAAGCTGGATCAGAAGTCAGGCAGCTGGGACATGAAACAGTGCTTTTTTTGGATACCAGCACATACAAGACAAGGATTTTAGTCCATAGGCTACTGTTCTGGACTGAATATTTCTAATTTTTGAAAGACATATTTAAGCATGGAGTTACACAGAGGGAGAGACAGAGAAAGATGGAGAGAGAAGGAAGTGGGAAGGAGGGGAGAGAGATAAGTAGAGGGAGGGAGGCAGAGGAAGAGAGTGCTGAAAGAAGGGAGGAAGAAGGAAGAGGGAGGGAGAAGTTGTAAGGAGGGAGGAACAGAGAGGGAAAGAGAGAAAAAGAGAAAGTCTTCCACTGGTTTATGTCCCAAACGCCTGCAACAGCTACGGTTGGGCCAGGCCAAAGGCAGAAGCCCAGACCTTCTAAGGGTCTCCAGCATGAGTGCAGGGGCTCAAACATTTGGACCATTTTCCGTCGCTTTCCCAAGTGCACCTGCAGGAAACTGAATTGCAAGTGCAGCAGCTGGGACTACAATTGGTGCACATATATTTTTGCTGGCACTTCAGGTGGCGGCTTTACCTGATACACCACAGTGGTGGCACAAAAATTATTCTAATATAGAATCAGTTTCTTCATCTTTAAATTGGGAGTGCTGGGGCTGGCATGGTAGCATAGCTGATAAATCTGTCACCTGAGATGCTGGCATCCCATATGGGCAGCAGTTTTGGTCCCATTTCTGATGTAATTCCCTGCTAACAGCCTGGGAAAAGCAAAATAAATGTACTAAATGAATAAAGGTAAAGGATTGTTTACAAAGTGATTTGTAAAAAAGCTGAAATTTGAATTAAATTTATCATGTGATTGTAACATATTGTATTCTTTTATTCCTCCACCAATTCTTAGTAATTCCAGGAAGGTGGCTTTTACCAGTGAGCCATTTTTTAGTTGTGAGTTTTAAGTAACTGTTGTTGGTCCTTTTGTTCAGTGATGTACAACATGATGTACTTGTATCAGCAAAAAGTTTATCTATAACATTTTTTTTTATTGTTGCTTACATTATATTATGTAGTACAGTTTTATAGGCGCTGGGGATCCCCCCCACCCCTCCCATACCCCTCCCCCCATGGTGGATTCCTCCACCTTGTTGCATAACCATAGTTCAAGTTCAGTTGAGATTCATTGCTTGCAAACACATGCCTAGCATAAAGTTCAGCGTCTTATTGTCCAGATAAGTTCAGTGGCCTCTTGGGGAGACCTTCTATGGTCTGAAGATAGGTCTAACAGAGTAAAGATCCAGTCAGTTAAAAGCCCCAACAAGGCCTCAGTATCATTATACAACATTATGGAATTAATTGACATAGTATTGGGTAAACAATATGTTAAAAATAATGCAAGTTCCATTCTTCGAAACATCTGGGTTGAGACAGTATCAATGACAGGTTCAAAAAATAACAAACAACCAAACAAAAAATTACAGGTTAAATCAAGGCAAACATGTGGTATCTAATCTTTTGGGATTCGCTCATTTCCCTTAGCATTATAGTTTCCAGTTGTGCCCATTTAGCCACAAAGAACTGCATTTTGTTTTTTTTAATAGCTGAGTAGTATTCCATGGAGTAGATGAACCAAAGCTTTCTTATCCAATCTTCTGCTGATGGGCATTTCGGTTGCTTCCATGTTTTCGCAATTACTGATTGTGCTGCAATGAACATAGGGGTGCATGTTGGTTTGTCGTAAAACAGGTGTTTTGGATATATTCCTAGGAGTGCTATTGCTGGGTCATATGGTATGCAGATTTTGAGTTGTTTGAGTGTTCTCCAGACTGATTTCCATAAAGGCTGTACCAATTTGCAGCTCCACCAGCAGTGGAGTAGGGTTCCCTTTTCCCCGCATCCTCGCCAGCAAGCGTCGTTGGTGTTCTTGTTTATGTGGGCCAATCTTACTGGTGTTAGGTGGTACCTCATCGATGTTTTAATTTGGATTTCCCTTATTGCTAGGGAGCTGGAACATTTTTTCATATGTTTGTTTGCCATTTGGACTTGTTCCTTTGTGAAATGTTTGCCCATTTCCCGTGCCCATTTCTTGAGTGGCTTGTTTGTTTTGGTTTTTTGGTTGTTTTGAAGTTCTTTGTATATCCTGGAAATTAGCCCCCTATCGCCTATATCGTGTGCAAAGATCTTCTCCCACTCTGTGGGTTGCTTTTTTACTTTGTTGATTGTTTCCCTTGCTGTACAGAAGCTTCTTAGTTTGATGAGGTCCCATTTGTTTATTCTGTTCTCAACTGCTATTGCTTTTGGTGTCCTTCTTAGAAAGTCGGTACCTACTCCTAGGTCTTGCAGGGTATTTCCTACATTTTCTTGCAAGAGTTTGAAGGTTTCTGGATGTAGGTTTAGGTCTTTTATCCATGTAGATTGGATCTTAGTGTATGGTGATAGATGTGGGTCTATCTTTTTGTTTCTACAGGCTATCAGCCAGTTGTCCCAACAACATTTACTAAAGAGTCCTTCCCACTTGCTTAAGCTGTCATTGGTCTTTTTGTCAAAGATTAATTGGCTGTATCTGTGTGGATTCCCTTTTGGTGCTTCTATTCTATTCCATTGATCTTCCTTTCTGTCTTTGTGCCAGTACCAGGCTGTTTTGATAACCACTGCTCTATAGTATGTCCAGAGGTCCGGGATTGTGATTCCCCCTGCTAATTTCTTATTTTTCAGGATGGTTCTAGCTATTCGTGGTTTTTTGTGTTTCCAGATGAACTTTTGAATCATTGTATCCAGTTCCGTGAAGAATGTTTTGGGCAATTTGATTGGAATTGCGTTGAAAATGTATATTGCTTGTGGTAGTATAGACATTTTAATGATATTGATTTTGCCTATCCAGGAGCACGGGATGTTATTCCATCTTTTGAGGTTTTGTTCAATTTCCTTTTTAAATAGTTTGTAGTTTTCTTCGAATAGGTCTCCTACACTTTTGGTTAGATTTATTCCCAAATACTTCATACTTCTCTCTGCTATTTTGAATGGTATCCTGTTGGTTAGATCTTCTTCCATCTTGGTGTTATTTGCGTACACTATGGCTGTTGATTTTCGTTCGTTAATTTTGTACCCCGCCACTCTGCCAAACTCTCGTATAAGTTCTAGCAGTTTCTGTATTGAGTCTCCTGGTTTTTCTATGTATAGGATTATGTCATCTGCATATAGTGAAAGCTTGACTTCTTCGTTTCCTATACGTATGCCTTTGATTTCTTTTTCTTGTCTTATGGCCTCTGCAAGTACCTCTAGGACTATGTTGAATAGCAGTGGTGATAGTGGGCACCCTTGTCTTGTTCCAGATCTCAGTGGGAAGGGTTCTAGCTTTTCTCCATTCAGTATGATACTGGCGTTGGGTTTTTCATAAATTGCTTTAATTATGTTGTGGATTTTCCCATCTATGCCTACTTTGGCTAGAGTTTTTAGCATGAAGAGGTGTTGGATTTTGTCGAAAGCTTTTTCTGCATCTATTGAAACTATTATGTGGTTCTTGTTTTGCAGTTTTTGGATATGGTTTATAACATTTATGGATTTCCGAATGTTGAACCATCCCTGCATTCCAGGGATGAATCCTACTTGATCCGGATGAATGATCTGTCTGATGATTTTTTGAATTCTATTGGCTAGGATTTTGTTGAGAATTTTAGCATCAATGTTCATCAGAGAAATAGGTCTGTAGTTTTCCTTCTCTGATGGTTCTCTATCCGGTTTTGGGATTAAGGTGATGTTGGCTTCATAGAATGAGTTTGGGAGGGTTGCTTCCTCCTCTATTGTTTTGAAGAGCTTGTAGAGGATTGGGGTTAGTTCTGTTCGGAATGTTTTGTAGAATTCTGTAGTGAAGCCGTCTGGGCCTGGGCTTTTTTTCGTTGGGAGATCCTTGATGACTGTTTCAATCTCTACC